ATATAAATATAACCTAAAGTAAGAAATCACATTCTCTAACCAGTAATATTTAATTTTAAAATTGGTAAATGATGATTATGTCACAATAGAATTGATGACTATGATTTATTTGAGAATAAAACAGACAAAACAAAGGCTAACAAAAATCTTTAAAAATTTGGGTAAAACATAGATATTTTAAAATTGCTTATTTTTCATCATTATTACGTCGATCTCCAAACCCCAAAAATTGAGTGTTACAAATTGTTTCAAGTTAAAGTATGCCTAATTTCATGAGCAAACTAGTAATCTTGTTGGATATTTTTCCTCGACAATGCCTTATCTAATTCATCTATATACAAACTACTAGATTCCAAATGCTATTTTACAGGATGGGTATTCATGAAAGTAACACTAAACATCAATTTTGTCATAAACTGAACAATGCAGCTAATTGATTCTCCCATCTAAGCCTCTTTTAATATATTGTAATTTCAAAATTGCCTCTAATGAAGTTCTTCAATCAAATCTAAAATGGACACAACTGGTAATATCTTTATACCATATGAGTAGAATGTTTGTTTCTTTCAAATTCATGCTTTCGTTAGAAACATGGATATCACTAATTCATAGCTTTGATTCATATTTAAAATGGTGTGCATTATATATATGAGGTTTAATTAATGGGAAGTGTTTAATACAGGGAAATACAATATATCTGAGGGAAATACAGTATACCTCCCCGAGGGGTTGAGGGTAGAATATTGTATTTCCCAAGGGTTATACCTTGTACCCAAAATCATTTATCATATACTAATATACGAAAATATGAGAAATTGCACAGAATGAAATTCCTGCAGGGGATTACTGAGTGGGTGATAAACCTGGCGATACATAGAGATTATCCTATATGAGGTTCAGGATATTGGAACTATCCCGATTCAAATATAATATATCTGCCCGAGGGCGATTATGACGGAGTGGGCAGATATACTATATCTGCCCGCTCGCAACAGAACGTAGCGCTATATCTGCCCGCTGATGAAAACATAAGTTTTTACAAACCTGCTTTATGTACCTGAAACACGACCAAGTATGGGATAAAGTGGGATATGCAGTACATGTATATCCCCACTCACCTAAGGTATCAATTATATTCATGCATTTTATTTACCTATAACACTAAGTATAGGATAAATAACTTTTACTGACAAATTATATAAGTACATGATTACATTAGTCACAACTACTCACTAAAAGGTTAACTGATTGCATGAAGAAATGTAATTCTACATGAAGATTTCAAATATGATATCACTTATCTGACTGAATTTTGAATTTTTAATGATGTAAAGCAAGATTATTTCTACTTGCATCTAAGTCTATTTCATTGTTTAAGTCAACATTTAATAAGGCAAATACATATCACTGGCTTCCCTGATTCATTTAGATTCCTTGCACTTTTAAAATCATCAATAATTCATATAGGGTTGAACTATCGAATAATGAAAACGTTTCAAATGATGTGATAGAAGTTTTTATACTATTTAGCTTGGAAATATTGCTGATATAGTTTTAATGTGATTTTAGGAGATTAAATGTTCTACTGAGGAACTTTGATTATGTTCAATTTTCTATGATCTTTAACTTTCTGAAAAAGGTCGTGCTAAATTCTCATTGAGACGATGTTAAAAATCTTAATGTTGACTTCCTAAATGTTGAATTCTTTTGATTGTCATGAATTTAAGGTTCACACAAAATCTGAAGATCATCAAGTTTCAAACACAATCTGAATCTCATTAAGTTTGATGCAAAAGCAGTTTTACTTTAATCCAAAATAACAAATATGATAAATCAATATGTGTCTATGGTAGATGCTAGCGTGTAGTCCAACCAGCACAAGTGCTGCCATCTACCTATCCATTCATCAGTTTAGCACCTAATAAGGTCAGTACTCATGGTAAAGCTTTTGTACCTTGTCTATGGTAAAAATAAATCAAACAGAAATGTTAAGTTGACACGATTGGTAATGCCCACCTTGAAGGGTGTAGGGATAAAGGGAAGGGTCAGGATAACACTTATATAAAATATTTAAAGTGTCTAATAATGATCATGAACATATTACAATGTTACACAACATAAGTAGATGCTAATTAAATGTCAATTGTTGTTAGTATAATATGTATTTTTCATTTAATGCTGCAACAAGAACACACGTACCAAAAAGTGCCACGCCCACTTTTCCCTAAAAGCAGCTATGTGTGACTATATTTGATAAATATTATTGATTTATAAGATCATTATGAACACTTTTCAGTTTTCAAATGTTAAAATATACATATTGATACAATTTTTGACAAAGTAGCAGCCATAAAATCCAAACAGATTTGCAAATATTTCACTTTGAGAACAAAGGGACACATTTGGGAGGGGGTCAAATTGACAATATTTCGAGATATAAATACTGTTTCTATGGTTACCATATAAGTTAGAGATTGGAAATTTCTGGCACTTACTAACCATAACATGCCCTTCCCAATATAAAACAATGAATATCTGACATGCATTAGTATTCTTTTTACTGGGTGGTATTAAAGTACCCCCATGGTTTTTTGGGGGTAGGGGTATAAATTGGTCTGAGGGCCGTCTGCCACCCCTATAGAAAGTCCAACTACCCAGAAAGTGTCTAGTATCATCATACAGATGGTTTGAAATAGGTTGGAATGTGTAACCTTTCATGTAAGGAAGGAGTTACAATTATCAGAGTGGGCCGTAGTCTATAACTGCCATTCGCACAAATCATGCAATTCAATTGAATTGGAACACAAAACAAGTATTTCGGATATTTTGTTATTTATTTACTCATATTACTTGCAGAAATACGATGGGAATTTCTAATCATATTTAGCAGTGATGGCGAGTGAAGTTAAAGATTTAATTGATAAATGCAAATGTTTTCAATATTAAACAAGTCATTCATCAAATAATCTTGACGATCGACGATTAATCTTACTTAAATAAATTATCTGTCTATATATTTTTATGAGACATATAATGGTTAACTAATGTTAATGTCTGCTGTTCACATCCAGTCACCGTCTATGACTAGTTACTGACCGGCAGTGAATCTCTTCAATGTTCTCCTAATTTTGAACGGAAATTTCATTATTATATTGCATAGAAGCCGTTAATATATGTCAAGTTGAAGTTTGATGAAAAATCAACATTAATTTTCTGATAATCTACCCATTTGAAGCAGTACAATTGACAGCAATTAACCGAGGATTTAAATGTATAAACTCAATTGCAATTGTTCTTCGTGGGAAAGGTTTCTATTATTGTCGTCACAGATTTTTAAGCTGCTCATTATAATATTCATGATTCGACTTTATGGAAAGGTGAATATCCTCCTTGAACTTCATTTGGTGGGATAAGTAGTGGACTGATAATGCTGACATCAATTATGTAAATGGGATGACAACCAGACTGCTAGAGGTTGTGTCGACTTGACCTTGGATCATGCAGCATAGTAAGTTCAGTTACTTAAATGGAACGACAACCAGGAGGTCGTTGACATTAGATCACACAGAATAATAAGTGCAGTCATGCAATCTACCAATGGAAATTGGAGATATATGTCTAATGTGGTTGATGTGCCTTTGTCTTCGAGGCCTATGTTCTGGATGTATAAAATATATATTGTCCAGTAATTGTCCAGTGACACTCCATTTTCTATATACTGTACTCTGGGTATTGTTCGCATGCGATTTAATTTCACTTTGTTCGCGAATATAGAAAAATCGTAAACATTTATCGTCGCGAAATTTGTCTTTTAAATCCCCGGGAATTCCGTTCGGTGTAAAACTTTTCGTCCAGTGTTGTTGGGTGATAATTCAAAAAAGGCCTAAAATGTCTAACATTTTGAATTGGCTTATTAGGCCAACAAAGGCAAGAACTGTTGACGACAATGATATTCTCCAAATTTAAGTTGAAAAAGCCATTCAAGAATATTCAAATAAATGCCCTAAATGTGGGAAATGCAAACATTATTTGGATTCTGAACGGGCTAAAATAGCCAGACAGCCAAAAAGGCATGTAAATATATTAATCAATATGGAGTTTACAGAGCTGGAGGAAAAAATTTAACATGTGCAATCCACAAAATGTCATCAACTCAAATCCGCGAAATTAAATAGCCGCGAAATTGCAATTTTGAAAAATCGCGAAATTTTATAGCGTCGAAATTTACCAGGGGTACAGTAATAGACTAGTTATTCTGTTGTGTGTGCCGCCAAGGAAGGAGGTTGTATCCGATTATATAACCTCGGTACAGTACTAAACGAAAAAAAAATAATGAGAGACCCTTCACACCCATATTAAAAATGCACTAGTCTAACCTGCAAGTGTAAACTCTGTGCTATATGTAGCCAAAAGGGCGGACACGTTAAATGATTAATGTTGAGTTTTAAGCAGCTTCCTAATTTTCAAGCTATTAATAGGTCTTGACATAAATTACCCTCATTTTTCCTAACTCATAATTATATGTTTTTATACTTTCAAAAGTAGCAATTTCATGCATACAGAATATCATATATCACATTAAAATATGATACTAGTATTACTCCTCTTAGGGCATTCAATTAGAGGTTTTATTCCATAATACTACCCAGGGAAATATGAAGGAATAAAAATCGTATTGAATCATATTACATGAAAAAATCGTATTGTCCCAGGGAAAAAATCGTATTGGAGCATATTACATGAAAAAATCATATTGTCCCCGGGGAAAAAATCGTATTGGAGCGTATTAACCTAATTTGGGTTTCCCGGTTATTTTCAACCTTGACTAATTGATAAAATGAATATGGGTTTTATTCCTCGGAAAATGTTATATTGACCTTGGGCAATATCACCTGCGCTCCCTCGGTCAATATCATATTACCCTTCGATCAATATCATATTGTCCCTCGGAATAAAACCTATATTCAATCCCTCCCAGTAAATAAACCTATATATCTCACCTATTAAAGATGCCATATCAAATGCCGTACAGCCATTCTTGGCCTGAATGTTGACATCAACTCCTACGTTAGTTAAATAAACTGCAATGTTCTTTTTGCCATGATACGTCGCTTGCATAAGTGCCGTCCACCCACTTACGACATCCTGTTTATTTATATCGCAGCCTCGCTCCACCAATAATTGAGCTATGTCTTTTCGTCCTGTCATAGCAGCAAACATAAGTGGGGTAGCGCCATCTGCTGGTGAGCAGGCATCTCGCTGACTTGGATCCATCTCGAGAATTGCACGGATGCGTTCAATATCCCCGCTTTTAGCAGCATCTATGATGTCAGGCTTATTATCTTCACAATCTGAAAATGTATTTGTGATATTTTTAACATTTTTAGAATAACTGACTTGTTGTATTTGGACGTATTGAATATGGGTTTAAATTTACATCGTCATTTGATGTGACATTTCAAAGGTATTGTGGGAAATATCATACCAACCGTGGTTGAAAACCAATATTCAGCTTCCAACATTGGTGATCTGTGTAAAAAACAAGGCATCAAAATGATCTCAAAATCCAAAGATACATATATATTACCCGAATAAACCAAATGATTACAGTAAAACCTGTATATCTGAACACCTGGCTAATCCGAACACCTTCCAATTTGAACACTTTTTTTCGGTCCCATTTTTTCCTCCCATTGACTCCCATGTTAAAAAAACCTTGAAATCTGAACACCTCCTAATTTGAACAGTGAACAACCAGATTTGAAAAAGTGACCTGTCTAATCTGAACATTTTTATCAGAAATCAAATGTCTGGACATTTCAATTATAGCCAAATATTGAGTCAATGTTATATAATAGTTGTTATTTATCTTTACATATACAATGTAATCAAAGAACCAATATTATCCTAACTAACTTATTTAGTCTCAGTGACATCCCTAATTTGTCGAAAACAACAGGATGTTTTGGAAAGGTGTGAATACAGGAGTTAATTGGTTTATCCTTATTGTAAATTAACTGGATGTTTTTGATTTGGATTATGAACAGGTCGTGACTGTTTTATATCCCATGGGTCTGTTATGTGGCTAAGATTCAATCAGCAAATGTTTTATAATCACAAGGACAACATAGACGACATTTGCAGACAAGATTTAGAAAAGAACTGAATGTTTTTGATTTGGATTAAGAGAAAGGTGAGAATCTGGGAGATAATTGGTTTATCCTTATTGTAAATTAACTGGATGTTTTTGATTTGGATTATGAACAGGTCTTAACTGTTTTATATCCCATGGGTCTGTTATGATAGCTAAGGTTCAATCAGCAAATGTTTTATAATCACAAGGACAACACAGACGACATTTGCAGACAAGATTATATCACAAGAAAGAGAAAAAAAATTCAACTTTGTAATATCCTATCACTAAAATGTCTCCTAAAAGGCATACATCTGACATCCTGAATGCCCTTGATATTTTGAAGGATTATACATCATCTCGAATGAACACTCATGAAAAATTCTTTTTACTTGAAGAGGATATCTACTCAAATATTGCTAATGCTAAAAGTGCCAAAAAACAAACAACAATGAAGGACTTTTTCAAGCAAAAGTAAAGCAGTGCTATATTACCATAATATGGGATAAGTCATTTGATAAGCATAAGATTTCATACGAGACTATCATATTACAGTGTATTACAAAGTTTTTGCCAAAACACAAGAGTTATTTTTACTAAAACAATGATATTGTTCAAAATATAAATAAAACATAGCATATGACTATTGTTGAATTAACTCATCAACAACATTTATTGTTTTCTGACTTAGTATTAAGTGTTCAATATAGTGGACTGAACAATGAAAATCCCCCCCCCCCCCCGACCAACAAAATCCTCGAAATTTGAACACCTGCCAATTTGAACGCTTTTGGCTGGTCCCGTGGGTGTTAGGATTAGACAGGTTTTACTGTAACTGAAATTATTAACACAACTGGTCACCCAGAAAATGTTAAGGGACTAACTCCATTAAAATAACTTACCTGTTTGTGGTTTATTCGTTGTCTTCCTGTCCAAGTAGCCTTTCACTTCTCGTTTTCCCCTCTTTGTTGCAATTGCCAAGGCAGTAGCGTTATTGATATTTGTGAGATTCGGGTCTGCTCCACCTTCTATTAGAATCTGAGCTGTGGTCATGTGACCATTCAGCGCTGCGACCATTAGTGCATTTAAACCAATAGATGGCATTCTATAGTTGACGTCACTCCCCCGATCGAGTAGATATCGCACAACGGCATCGTGGCCATTCTGAGTTGTTACCATGAGCGCTGATACTTCACATGTAGCAGCACCACAGTTACTTATGTCCAAACCAGCTTCAACAAGAAACTTTACAGTCTGTAAATGCCCACCACGAGCAGCTAATGTTAAGGCATTTGCTCCAAGTCGATTCCTGGCATATATGTCAGCCTGATGCTGGAGTAATAGCGCAATAATATTTGTGTGTCCATGCCGGGAGGCCTGCATGAGAGCGGTCCAACCAAATGTATTTGATTTGTCAAGAGCAGCCCCACGAGTTATTAATAATCGTACTATGTTTTCATGCCCATTAGCTGCCGAAATATGAAGTCCTGTTACGCCCTCTGTATCAGCCCAGTCAACCTCAACCTGTAAAAGAAAAAGGATTTTTATAATTTGTGCATCACACTTTAAAATATTTTGCCTCTCTTGTATACTTTCAGTAAATATATTAATCATGTGTATTTTTATAAAGATGTAGTTTTAGTTAGTATTGTTTAGTAGTAGATAGTAGTTTAAGTGAGTATTTGTGACTAATGTAATCATGTAATGATACAATACGTCAATAAAAGTTATACATGTATATAATTATTTGTATTTCAGCCTGAAGTCTTTAGATAGTCCCCTTCCTACTCCAGTAGAATGCTACTTAATTTGATGCTAATTAATTTGGCAGATCTACTCAATTTCAAATATTGGCAGCTATTCAATTTGGCAGATTAAGAACTGAGCTAAGTTTTATCATTGATCTGGAAATAAGCTGCCATCTTTATATCGCAAAAAACAATGGCCATAACACCCCCTTTAGGGCAGACTTATCATTATAATAAAAAATGTGAATAATTATAGGCAAATGTGTCCGCTTCATTATTTTGGGTTTTAATCATTGTAAAGTTTTTACTAATATCTATTTTTGTAAATTTCATACACATTTTTTTTCATTTTAAGAGAAGGCTGTGAAACAAAAGCTGAAAAACAGTTTTCTTCTTGAAAATATAAACCTCTAAAATACAATCACCCATTATATAAGAACAGAACAGAACTGAAAAAGTACCTGCTCTAGAAGGAGCTCCACTTGGTTGAGGTCTCCCTGTTCACATGATACCTGGAATTGCTTGGTTACATCCATGTTGACACTGCCAATGTGTTATAATTATGATGCCTCTGGAATCATAACAATTAAAACAATTAAAACGCATTAAAGAGATCAGATCGTCCGGATTTTTCTCCCGGACAACCAGCAATGTCCTAGTATAAGTTAACTGCTCATATACGACATTAGACCAAATTATGAGCACAGTTTTACCAACATATTGAGAAAATCAACAGGACAACCAAATGTCTAGAACACAATAAGTCTAAAACGACATACCATTTTTTTAGATTAATTTAAAAAAGATTGCCTGCGCCGGGAATCGAACCCCCACCATTGGACAAACAATAAGATTAGAAGAGTCTGACGCGCTACCTACTGCGCCATACGATAACAGCATGTGTGTCTTGTCAAATTTTATAACCATATGAATAATTGGTGCAAAAATGGCGCACAAATTATGCATTTCACAAATATTGTTTTTTTATTACTAATTAATTATCTGTTGCACATTATTGAGGTAAATCTGTTTCAATCAATCCAAAAAATGCAACTCATGGCTGATATGAAATAAAGATCAGAATAATAAAGAAGGCCGTACATTTAGTTCTACTTGTAGAAATATATGCCAACGAGAGCTATTTAAATCTTAATAATAATCAGTAAGTTATTACCTTGTGTTATCTCATAATCTAGGGCGTAATAGGAAATATTACATCATGGTAACTTGATACATGCATGTATGTCTTGTCAAATTTTATAACCTTATGAAACGGCGTTTTCTCCACAATTTTGGAATGAAACACTCTCCTGGGATTTAATATAGATATTAATGTTTACCAAAGTATACGTACTATAAAAGAAATATTACTTAGATTGTATATATACTAAAGCGGGTATAAGGGCTGTGGAGAGAAAAATTGATAAATTTTACCTTTTCTGAGCTATCGGGGCAAAGTTTGGTCTAACATCTTCTTCCTTATCCATATTTTATAAAAATATATGCATATGGCAATATTTATCAACCAGTAGAACTGGCAAATCGTTTATAATCTACAATTCTATACAAGGAGTCCCACTCATAGATTTTTCAAATTCTTTCCAAGTGGACGTCGTGACACCTAGCGGGTGAAATTGAAACTAATTTTTCTTGCTACTCGAATCGATAGAACCTATGATAGTGTGAGTCTTTTTATGAAAATGTTTCTTATAGAAATCACTTGACGATTATTAAAAAGCATTAAAAGTTGAATCCAAAGCGTAATCTGAAATAAAAGTGAAAAAACATTGCGCGGACGTTAGAGAACAAACTTCCGGTTTAATAAATATTGCGGAGACGAAGGAGAAGAAGAAGAATTAGAGGATTTCCTTTTGCCATTATCGATCGATATGAGGTATGTGCACAAATTCTAGTTGCATAGGGCATGGAAAATAGATACATTCTTACAGGCTATAACATATTCAAAGCTTTCATTTTACGATAAGTTATGAATTACAATGGACATTAAGTTTGTGATTCACGTCAATTGACGTGCAAAATGGCGTATCGTCTGATAGCCGCCTATCAAACAAAATTTGAAAAAATTCAAAACAAACTCAGTCTGTCATGTCGATCTTATATTGGAAAGCGGGGTGCCCTGTGCGATGATTGGTGAATTTCAACATTTGTGATTTAATACTTACTCTTTTGGGTTAACTGGTAACAAAATAACGACTTTGTTTACTGAGCATAGAGTTTGTTTGTTTGTTTGTATCCTTTATAGCGTTATAATGCCGCTTATTGGTCACGTGTTACTGGTTATTCCCTTGTGCTTGCTCTTGATACTTATTCACTTGTTCTTTATCAAAAGTCTAAAATTCCTTATACTATTATATACAGTTTTTATATGTGCTCATTTAAAATCTCCTGGTTTGCCTAATGTAATTGCAAAAGGCATGAAATATTGTCCTGTTTGTTGATTGTGACAGGTTTATGTTACGACCACTTAGAGTCTGTAGATCCAGTAGTGGATTTGTATTTTCTCCTAGGAGTATATTGTCAACTTTCGAGTAGAGCTCTTGTCTTTCCAGCTCAAAGAGACCACATGTATTAATATAGTGGTCGACAGTTTCTGGTTTATTGCAGTACTCACAGAGATTTGATGTAATGTTTGGGTTGATTTTGGCTTGGTGGCTATTGAGTTGGGTATGTCCACTAATTAGTTGGTTGACAATACAGGATATCTTGCGATTGGAAGATTCTGGGGGGTTGTTGGATCCAATCTTTGTGATAACCTGTTGTATGGCCCGAACTTTTTTAGAGTTGGAGTATTGCCTTTGCCATTTGTATTTAATGGATTTGTGAACTACATTATAAGCCTCACTTTTTGTAACAGAGGTTGTATTAAACTCAAGTTGTTCTGCCAAACTAGCTGCTTTTTTTGCGTGTTTATCTGCTAATTCATTGCCATGGATATTTACATGACCTGGGACCCAGTGACAGTTTATACATTTGTTTTGATCTTTGATCTTAACACACAATTGCCGAATCTTTTTTATCAGTTCAACATGACCTTCAGGGTGTTCAGAGATAAAAGCAGAGGTTATTGCAGGTTGGCAATCACAGAATAGCCATATATTTTGGCTGGTGTTTATTTCCTGTATGAAGTCTAGACCTAACAGTAAAGCATAAATTTCAGCTATAAAGTTGTTGCCTTTTGCTGAGATGGGTTTATTTAAACAAACCGGGTCAGCTGCAAGACCTTCCACGTAGACTATTGCTGCTGATCCAGTGGGGCCCGGATTGCCAAGTGTGGATCCATCCGTGAAGACCACTGTGTCATCAACTGGGATCTTCTGTAGAATCTGTTGAATTCTTGTAGTTTGGGCACTCTTTGAGCTTGTGAAGTCTTCAAGGTCAAATTGTATTCCGAGAGGTGAGAAAGGACACCAGTCTGAATTTGAGTACGCTTTGTCCAGAGGCGTTTGGAGTAGGGATTTACCAAATTCCCGTGTCCTAGATAGCAGAATGTTAAAATTAGAGACACATTTCTCTGGTTTGCGATTAGCTTTCCAGAGTTTGAATTCTGCTAGAATCGGTTCAGATTCATGTTTCATAAGAATTCTGATGTGTTCTTGAGCTTGTCTTGCTCGGAGCAACGTATAGATGGGCACACAATTTGTGATCGCCTCTAGCGTTTCTGTACTGGTTGAGTGCAGACAGCCAGTTGCTTTGAGAAGTGCCTGTCTTTGAACCGAGTTGTAGGCTTCTGCTGCCTTGGTTGTGGATGTGGCTATCACACTGCTGCCGTATTCCAGGTTGGGCCTGACTAAAGATTTATATAGTTTAGTAAAGGTCTCTTGTTTGCAACCGATGTTTGCATTTGCAAAATCAGCAATACGTTTGAGAGCCCCGAAGCCCTTCCTTTGCCTTTCCTCTATGTGCGAGGTGAACTTTAATTTGTTATCTATAGTGACGCCGAGCACTTTAGTTTGAGGTACTACTTCAAGTTTTGAGTTTTTGAAGTATATTGATACATTTGGTTCTATTGACCCTTGAGGTGTAAATACAAGCACTTTTGTTTTATTTGTTGCTATGTCCATGTTCCAGTGCGAGCACCATCTGGCCAAATGTTCCAAATCCTCATTTACTGTTTTTTTCGACTTCAGCTATAGTCTTACCGCTGCACCATATAATTGCATCATCTGCGTATTCCCCATGTTGCGATTTTATTTTCGCCAGAGCATCCGCTGTGTACAAGTTACAGAGTGTCGGAGAAATCACGGCCCCTTGAGGGATTCCTACGTGTGACTTTTTGAGCTCAGTTGTATGATTGTTGACTGTCAAAGTGTAGGCCCTATTGCTAAGATACTCAGCTATGTATATCAAGAGTCTACCCTTGATACCCTTGTCGAAAAGTTTAACTATCAACCCCTCCCTCCAAATGCGTTCAAAACAGGACGAATAATCTACTGTTACAGCCACTGTAATTAGCTGGTTGTTCCATCCTACTTGGATATCTTGTACCAGTCTAATTAGGTTGGTCGTGCAGGTTCTTCCCGTTCTGTACGCATCCTGGAATGAAGATAACATGGTGTTTACCTCAGCTAACCAATTTAGTCTACCATTTGTAACCCTTTCATAGATCTTACCAATGACAGATTCAAGTGTAATTGGCCTATATGAGCCATCATCGTTGTATGTTTCTTTGTCGGGTTTGTGCAATGTGAATTTAGGGTCAATGGTAAACTCTTTAGGTAATGTGCCTTTACACCAACATTTCTGTATGAGTTTGTGGATGGCAGAGATCATATTAATTCCCCCTTTTTTGATTGTTAAATTGTGTATTTTTTCTCTTGGACTGGGAGCCGAGGCCTTGGCCATGTTATCAATTGCTCTTTTGACCTCATTTAGGTGGATCTCGCCATTCACAATTTCACACTGATTGTCATATTGAGCCGATTTGATATTGTGTTTTTCAGAATCAACTATAAAATTGTATCTGCTCATTATGCTATTATACCACACTACATCTAATTTGACATCTAAATCTTCCTTGCCATATTTGGCCAGGAGTACATTTGATATATCTTCATCAGTTACTGCTGTTGTGCCATTTTTTACAATTGGTTGAACTGTTTTCTTTATGTTTTGTCCTGAATTATACCTATTGACAATCCTCCAAAGGGCATTGTCATTACCATTACTATCAAGTTGGCTGAACATTCTTGCCCAATAGCTATTTTTATAGCTTTCAGTCAATTCTTGAAATTTGTCTACACTTTTTACATAGGCTTGGTAGTTAGCAGGGTCGTACCGAGCATTTAACTTTCTTTTCGCTTTTCTTAAAGTTTTAACCATGCTCGTTAGTTCCCTGCACCACCATCCCTTACTATGCTTGTTTACCCTCTTCTTATTTAGAGTGGTCTCAGAAGCTAACTGTATGAGTCTGCAGATTTCCCTGTAGTCTGCATCAACTGTGGATTCACTAGAGTGCCCTTCCTGGTTGCTTGCTGTAAGATATATTGAAAATAGGTTATTACATTCATGGGTAAAAGCGTTCCAGTTTGCACCTTTGAAATCCCAATATTCCTTACATTCTGCTTTAGGAAGTTCCCCTATACTGAATTGTATTAATTTATGATCAGTGTTGAGAAAAATTTCACTATCTACATGCCAATCATTGATCTTGTGTCTGAGAGAGTTGCTACAGATTGTGAGGTCGATGATGGAGGTGTCTCTAGTTGGTGTGTTATCATTTGAGATAGTGAGACAATGACTATTTATAAAGCCCACCAATATGTTGCCTAAAGCATTATTGTTTTTGCACCCCCACATCATATGTTTCGCATTAAAATCCCCCGTGAAGACGACAGGGAGGCTTTCATTTAGTGCTTTCTCAGCGACTATTATGAAGGTTTTCATTGCCTCCTCATCATCTGGAGGTATGTATGCAGAACATAAGGTAAAGTGTACATTGCCAGCATAGATATTTGCCCATGACGTTTCGAGATTTTTGACCATAAGATCTGGACGTTTTACCATTTTGATGTCTGGAGCCACCACCACTGCCGACCCCCCACCCTGCCTGTTGTTTCTCTCTGTTTTGACCCATGACCAATTTTTTAGAATGTTGAGTTTTTTGAAATCTGGGTGCCAAATTTCAGTAAGGCACCATATTTTTACATTTTCATGCGTAATGTTCTGAATGTATTTAGCAGATGTGTTAATGGATCTAACATTCGCTTGATTTATTTTCATGTTGAGATATTCTGTTTTGCAGTCTGGTTTTGTGTTGAATGAACATGGGGCATTGGTTGGAGTTTGCCTTATGTGTGCCCCCACAGTTACAACAAGAGTTGCTGCAAGAATCAGAAATAGGGTCATGATTTCCAGGGTATCCACATTTGCACCTTTTGACAAAAGAACAGCTTTTGGCTACGTGACCGTAGCGCTGGCAATTGAAACAACGTGTGACCTTGAATTTTGCACTGTGGTGGGGTTTTGTGATCCAAGTTGTCCCCTCAAATACGATTTTGGATTCAAAAATTGTTTTGAGATCCTTGTATGATTTACATTTGATATTCACAATTGGCAGTGCTTTACCTGTATCAGTGTAGTGAAGTCTTCTTACGTCTACTGTTACACCTGTTGTATTGGCGATGATCTCAGTTATACCTGTCTCATCCAGATTACATCTCACGTTTTTTAGAACGCATGTGGGTTGAGGTCCTGGTTCGTGGATGTTTAGCTTGCTCCCATCAAAGGCACCTGGACTCCAGTCGTCCTGAAGGAGGGATTCCTTGTATAGACATCATTTTTAGGGGCGAAAAGTTCAAAACCACAAATAATAAATTTTCTAACGAGTCTCAGCTTTCAGTTCCCGACAGCGAGAGTTGCAGCGAGATTTGATATTCACGAGCTCGTTTTTCAAAAAATCTTCAGTTTTTGATGGTTTACACTGTATTTAGACCTTAGTTATGCCTTATGCCAATCAGCCAACAGTTTACATAAGTGAACTGACAGATGATAATATTAAATTTGTCCTTGAAGACACAGATCTCAGGTAAAGTGATTGATGTTTATTTATTAATTATTTTCTGTTTTTTGTTCACCTCAGTCCTCAGCCTCTTCAGTTCAACATTTATTGTAGTACTGTACTGAGTGTTGTACTAGGTAGGGCTGTGCCAGAATTGGAACTTTCGAATCCCCTTTCGGACCACAAATGAAAACAAACAAAAAAGAAACGAACCTACTCGATAAGTTGACATCGTTTTATATTTGTTTGGATTGATTGGAATTAGAACTCCAAAATTGACTTAAAATGATTTGGTTTGCTGGCCAGTGGCCATTTTCCATTTCGGTTAAATGGCCCTATTGCTAGGTCTACTTTGATCATGAAAAGAGTCTGGCTTCTTTATCTTATTCTAAGCCCATGTAAACATATTCTTACGCTGATTATAAAACCCTATTTGTTTTCTTAATCTTTAGACTTCAGAATTTGAATTGCGGGTTTTGGTCTTTAATGTCAATGATCTGCAAAAGGCTAATAATGTCTAGGTCAATAGCAGATATATATATAAAGCAGATATATAATAAGCCCATATAAAGCAGATATATTAATTTAACAGTGATGGAATTTGAAAATAAAATAATTTGAAACCTAAACATTTAAAAATAGATCTATGGTTTACTACTCATTTTAAAATTGAAAGGAACCATCCTTGTTGGCCCCTGTACACCCCTAGGAAGTCCCTTTATGTTGAAATACCCTGGGGCGACTGTCAGGCTACCACGTTGACATCTCCCCTCTTTACCAGAAGTGTAGGCTTGTTGCTGTGCACTGGCCACTTTTAATGCCACTTTTGAACTAGGTGACATATATTCTGTATTATTTATTTTCCAGCGTTGCAAACAGTATAAGAAGGACATTTATCGCAGAGGTTCCAATCTTAGGTAAGAAATGCAGCTTTTACAGGTATTAACACTTTTATAGTCGGGGAAAATACCTTGAAAATTGTTCCCTGGAATGCTCTTTGGAATTGTAAAAGAAGTCTTAAAATTGTCAGTGAATTTTCATGTGAATTTAATGTCTCTCAATAAATGGTTTGCAATAGTAAAAAGTCATAAAGTCCTGTTATTAACACATTGAGGGTCTTGAATAATCCATAATTGTGACTTGCTAAAGTCAATTTTTAGTAGCTATACCAAGCCCTATTATAGCAAATTTTAGATGATCCCAGAGAAAAATAAAAAAAACTATGACATAAATGCTAATTAAAGAGAAATACATGTAGAGTTGTTTTTTGAAAGAATATTTTTCTTTCAGTTTTAGTTTTTTGATTTCTTCCTGACTTTCAACACTAGTTTACAATGTTATCCCATGCTATGATATTCTGATTTATTTGTTCAAACAAACAAATTAAATAGCTGCACACATGACAAATTAAATACATCCTTGCTATATCAATTTATGGTGTTCCTCATGTTGTTCTCCTTTATGTTACAGCCATAGACTGGGTGCAAATAGAGGCAAATTCTACAGTACTACACGATGAGTTTATTGCACACAGGGTTGGTCTTATTCCACTGACATCAGATGACATTGTGGACAAAATGCAGTACTCCAGAGTAGGCCCTTTGATTTATTTTAGGAGTATATATTATATTTTAATTGTCTTTAAGTTGAAGTAACTTGTATCATTAGTTTTAAGAAACTCACACTGTATACTATTGAACATCCTCTGATCACAGGGCTTAAAAATCCAGAATTTAATATATTCTTTCTTTTTACTCCCTGCAATAAGCATTTAGCATTTCCACGATTAAGAACTGCGACAGAAATCATGTATAAATCATTGCGCATAATTAGATCACGTGATTCAGTTTAATCGGGCGCTTCCAAATTGGTTATAGCAGGGGGAAGAAGGAGGTACGGATTCTGGATACCTGCTTAGGAGGATGACTATTGAAAATCCCAAAATAATTCAAATATCGTTGAAGTTAAAAAAATGTGCACCAAGTTGAAACATGAAAAATCTTGCACCATGTTGACATTTTGAATACCTTGCACTATATTGAACATTTACATTTTGAAATCATTGAAACATTGAATATCTTGATCTTGGCTTGACTTGATGCAAGAACTGGATTTTATTTTTAGGGTTAATATTGAAATAAAATTGCATTTCTTGTTTGAAACTGTATTACAACTTTATATATACTTACCCATGCAATTTGGGAGTCATTTGATGCTTTATGCTATATTTTAGCTCTGTTCTTGTAAACCAAAACTATTGCTCATTCAGCATGTGTTTAACTTTTAGGACTGCACATGTGATGAGTTCTGTTCTGATTGTTCTGTTGAGTTTACACTGGATGTACGATGCTCTGATGACCAGACACGTCATGTCAGCAGTGCTGATCTCATCTCAAGCAACCCAAAAGTAGTCCCGGTAAGTCATCTCAAGTAACCCAAAAGTAGTCCCGGTAAGTCATCTCAAGCAACCCAAAAGTAGTCCCGGTAAGTCATCTCAAGCAACCCAAAAGTAGTCCCGGTAAGTCATCTCAAGCAACCCAAAAGTAGTCCCGGTAAGTCATCTCAAGCAACCCAAAAGTAGTCCCGGTAAGTCATGAAATGTTGGGTCAAGTCATGAAATGTGGTACATGCTGCATATCATTAAATGTTAGAATTAGTCATGAAATCTGCTCTAGGTAAGTCATGAAATGTGGTCATGCTGATACTTAATAACAATTAATATTGTTTTATTATATTATTTGTTACTATTTGATTCTAATTTAATTATAGTGTTTCCAAAGTTGCCTTCATTAGTTATCCCAATGAAAAATTAATTAAATGTTCAAAAAATGATTGTTTGTTGGAATTTGCTGTAGTTTTTAATGTTTTCATTTTTATCATTCTTGCCAATTTTTCCTGTTAGTTATGTTTAGTTATGCTTCAGTGGTTGCATTTTTCATAATTATGAACATTATGTTATATCTAATGTGCCCTTGATTACAGCTAGTCCATAGTTATTACCATTGTGTTTTCAGGTGACATCGCGGCACAGAGAAGAGCAGGATGATTATGGAGAGCAAGATGGTAAGGAATTTGACTCAAATTTTGCCATAATCCCCAGGTAATTCCATCGTAGGGCCTTTAATATCAGTTCTTTTTCCAATGATATTACAGTTATGACTTTGAATTGTTGAGTTTTGACAGCTATACTTAAATTTTTTTTTATTCCAAAGTTTATTCCAAAAATTACTTATTAAAAGTATGTCATATACTCCATGAAAAAATAGCTCATTTAAATACACCATTTAACAAATCTGGCAACATTTTGATTTTTACATTGATGATTTTTTATTTGTTGATTTTTAATTTTCTCAGTTTTGGAGAAGATAAATTTAACGTTGCATGTGTTAAACAGACCTTTAGATGAAGTAACATGTTTAAAAATTCAATATGAAATAAAATTATAACTATTTGGACACCATATGAGAGAAATACTGGAAAATATTTATGTATGTATAATGTAGTGTATTAAAATATGATCTATCCATATATTATAAATCTGCTTGAATCTTCATCCAGCTGGTAAGGTTTCCACATCGTTAAAATAGTTTAATTTTGGCTTGAGTATTTAATAGTATTATATCATTATCATGTTCCCCACTCTCTTATTGGTTGATACCATACATTCGATGAGACATATTCACCGGCTGGCATTTTTCATCCAGTGTAAATCTTAAATCCATCCAATAATAATACGAAAATGTCAGACATGCCAAACAATTGGTTCAATGAAAATTCCAACAAGGAAAATGATAGAATTCTGGGTTACGCAAACAAACCAATTAAAGGTACAAAAGAACAATTAAACTGTTTATGAACTGGTGTTCTAGTAGATCACACGCTGTTGACCGAGAAGGTATCGCCTGAGACTAACACAACCTGACAGGTTGAGTTGAATTTAATGTTCTAAGCATTCTTGCAAGACATTCCCGATAAGAGAGTGGTGGACATAACAGTGAATAATAAAACAAATATTTCATGTCCGTGAAAACCTGTTGCTCCTTCAATGATTCTACAAGGTGTTTTCATCTGTCCCTTTGGGTTCGGGGATACACCTTGCTAGAATCATTGAAAGATAAACATGTATTCACCTAGTAGTATGAAATTTTTGTATGATGTTTTAAGCTGTTTGTGTTATTAAGTTATTCTATTTAAGATGTTTCACACTCATCATTATACAACTTAAAAAGTATGTGTCTTCAGGAAATTCATAAATTGTTACGATATATAGCGGGGGATACATACATTCAGTAATTGCTAAAGATTTCTCGAAAAATCACGAGTGGCAAATTCCAATAATGATAATTATAAAAGTTTTTTTTGAATGATTTTAATTAGGATGATAATTTAACAAACCTCCATCTTTTCAGATATTGTCATTGTGAAACTGCGAAAGGGACAGGAAGTGAAATTGAGAGCTTTTGCACGTAAGGGATTCGCAAAGGAACATGCTAAGTGGAACCCAACCTGTGGTGTGGCGTTTGAATATGACCCAGACAATGCCTTAAGACACACTGTATACCCCATACCAGAGGAATGGTACGTTATTGAATTTTTGTGGCTTATTAAGCTGTCTGCTCATGGCTTATTTCATGTCATTTCTCTTTAAGGTTTGAATGAATTGTCTGGTGTTCTAGCATTTCAATAAAATTTGGGAGTGCTTAATACACGCCTTTTCAACTTTGAAGGCTAAAATGAATGTAACTTGATTAACTGAGCTTATTTCAAATTTTATGAAAGAGATATTTGCATGGTATTCAAAACTACTGGACGTATCAAACAACCCATTTTTGACCTGCCATCTATATGAGGCACTCAGTCATTTGCACAAGTCGCATTATTTTTTGCCTTGGCATAAACACTTTGCTTCATCTCATCTTTCTCAAGTGTCTCCAACCTTTTTGTTGACAGTGTTCAGTACTTGACGTTTGGCATCTGTAACAAATGGCAGGTGATGACATTTTACGTCTAATTTTTAATTGATGTCAGTGGGATGAGACCAACCCTGTGTACAATACGTTTGTTTGCTTTATTTCACATTTTCACCTATATCTCTCTATTTTGCATTTTAAATCTAGAATTATGATTATTCTATTTTCAGGCCAAAGAGCGAATTCTCTGAAATTGATGAGGAAGAAGGTAAGAATAATTGAAATAATAGCTGTTTCGACATGGAGAAGATTTTTGAGAATACGAGGGTTGTCCCAGAAGTAATGCACTATATGCTCTAACTTTATCAATAATTGATATTTTTCAATGAAAGTTTCAGTAAATGTTCCTTAGAGACATTTTGATTATTCTACAAATTTTCACGTTGACTGATAAAACTATATTGATGCTATAATAAAATCAAGTTGGTGAGTTTGGGTAGGGTGGGGCAGGTTATACAGTCACGTCAAAAAGAATAAAAAAAGTGAAAATATGAAATAATTAATCAACAAATACCATTCTGTGTAACTATAAGAAATATGCTCAAAAATACATTTTAAGATACTAAATTACTATGAGTACATCCTAGATTTAATAGATGTATATTGCACAGTGTCCCATTTCACATTTTCTCAAACTATTGCCCTTTGCATGTTATGTACTTTTGATGCCTGTCAGGTTAAACAATTTGGCAATTTCTTCCATTGTGACTTGTGGAGTTTTTGCCTCCCATGATTTTGGAGTTGTCATCCAGGGTCCAGTCATCCCTTTTAAATCTCTTCTGCCACCTCATAATTGTAGTTCTATCTGGTATATATACTCCTTTTATACTTTCGACATGGTAGCATAAGTTTTGATTGGCTGTGAGTCCAAGTGAAGTATGAAATAATGCCACCAAATGCAAGGCCTTCTGGTACCAGGTGAGAATTGCAGCCATTTTGCAATTTCTTGACTGTGACTGTATTTGAATTTGTGACTATCGAACTGTGGTATTACGACATCACAGTGCTAAATGACATTATTTGTACTTTGTTAACATCATGCTGAAATAATTTAACAATTTACGAAACATTTTGATCATTTAAAAGAAAGAAATATTAATAAAATAACACTTTGGATCTTTTCATAATTAGAAAAATTGGTACCTGCCCCGCCCACCCCTACCCCCATGTTGCTATAGCAACCATATTATGACTTATTATTAATGTTTGATGCTGGAACTTCAGGATATAATAGATAAAACTTCAATTGTTATATACACAAAATTTCAGCTGAATTGAAGAGTATTAAAGTAAGTTAGAGCATATAGTGCATTACTTCTGGGACAACCCTCGTATTTAGAGATTAAATTCTGAAATTTTCAGAATTATTGTGTTATATTCCATGAATTTTTGGAATACATTAAGAAATAACAATCAAGAGCCTATTTAGATTTAGAAATGCCTATTTACCAACTGACCAAAACACTTTAACAGTTCTTACTTACAGGGTGGTCCAAAAAAAAGTGAACCCCTGCAACTGGCCATATTTCTCTTATTACTTGCAGGAATTCTTTTTTATTTTCACATGTTGTAGAGGAAGGTCTAAAATTTATGTTGGTACCATACATTTTTCTTAGTCTTGAAATTTGCAGAAATTATAAGCCCTAACCAAACATTACTGAAAATGGACAAATTGTGATTTTCAATATCCGCGATTCTTCAACCCTGTAACACCTTTCCCCTGAGAATTTTTTAAGCTGCAGTCTTAAAGAACTAATATTTTCTGACTTTATTCAATTTTAAATCCTGCACATAATGTCTTAAAACTAGCATCCTACATTTGTTAGTTGCAAAGTTATTGTGACCCAAAGAGATGTGCTAAGCTTCAACAGACGAAAACATTTTCAAGTGAAATCATGAACATACCCCTATATGATCTTGTATTGTCAATATCTTCATAAATCATGGACCAATTCTAATGATATATGGCTCAAAACATTGAATATTGGATTTTCTTTTGATTTTTAAAGATATTTGATGAAAGGGTTATCAGATTCCTGGTCACAGGGGGCAACTTCCTTCCATAAGAGGCCCCCCTCTAACTGTTGGTGTAGGTAACATACCCCTGAACTGTTGATCGAACAGTTAGAAATGCTTCAAAATGATCAATGAAAGTGTGAAATGTGTTTTCTGCTTGAATAGTGTCCCCTTTGTCATATGGTAGGGTTTTAAAGTTGTATCTCTAACTGGAAGCTGTTTAAGATCATCCAATGTGTTTCAACAATTTCCGTGAATCACATTTGTAAAATTTTGTACAATATCTTATTTCCAGGCATGTTTGTTAAACGCTTGTAGTTTTTTTTAAATTTAAGACTGGGAATAAATTATGGCATCAACCAAAATTTTAGACCTTTCTCTACAACATGTGATAATATGAGCCAATTCATGCATGTATTAAGAAAAATGAAGCCTGTTGCAGGGGTTCACTTTTTTTTGGACCACCCTGTATATTAAGGATATCCAGTGGATAACCTCATACATAATGAACATTTAGTCAGAGATTTTCCAGGCAAACAAATATTGAAAATTATATATACAATACATGTACTTCATTTTATTTTCAGCTCAAGCACCATTCATTGGCATTGAGACACCAAAAAAGTTTTACATCAACATTGAGGCATGCGGAGCTTTAAAGCCGGAGAATATCGTCTTTTCTGCTCTCTCAGGACTGAAACGTAAACTAAGTGATCTTCAAACCCAATTAAGTCATGAAAGACAATCTCATGCATTGACCATTGATGGATAGTGTACAGATATTAATGGATATTCAATACGTATCCATGGATAATACTAGTATGCAGATGATGGACATTCCCTTAATATTCATGGATAGTTCACAGATATCTATGGACATTCAATTAATATTCATGAAAAGTTAAAAATATGTATAGGATATCCTATGATTTTGAGGGATATCATTTTTATCCACGAGTTGATATCAATATCTGGACGAGTGAGCATAGCGAATGAGTGCAGATATTGATATTCACGAGTGGATTAAAATATCACGAAATGTTTTAATTATCCCATAGTTGAGGTCAAATCATCCCATAATGCCTAGTTCATTGTAGTTCACCTTCCAAAGCATTTCACAACAACATTCAGTTTTATTTGTCTGAACTATAGCCAAAACATTAATCATTTGCATATTTGTGACGTCATGAAATCACTGGTAAGCATATAACATGTAACCATGTAGCAATGCACGTCACATTGACGGGAGTTTTCAAATCCTTGGAAAAAGTGATATCTGTGGAATATTCTCCGTATTCCACAGATATCGCTTTTTCCACGCATTTGCAAAATATTATAAATATATATACGTGTTATTCTACAGATTTGACCTCAACTATGGGATAATGATGGATATTCAATAAATATTCATGGATATTTTACAGATTATCATATAATGATGGATTGATAGACTACATGTTTTATTGTGTTTATGTTTAGATAGGAATGGTCAACAGTGGTGGAAAAATCAAGTTAAGTTTGCTATGATTAAGAGGGTAAATGATGACATCCATTTTTCGTTGTTGACTGGGATATTTACGCTGCAAATAAACATTTTCAAAGTTTTGTTATGAGGAGGCCATTGGGGTATTACTGTAAGGAAATAAATCATCAACTTGAAAGTATCCCAGTGGAAGTGTGTATTCCTGATGTTGTACTTTATAATACACAATTTTTATAATAAAACACAATACTGTACTCTGATTTGGTGTTTTCTACTTTTGACACAAATATGGAATACAGCTTACAAACAAATAGAGATTAAAATTGTCCATATATTTCTCACATTTGGAGTCTTATGTACTAGGCTCAGTCACACTAAGGGTGATCACTGAATGTGTCTATGAGATCCATAGTTGTCAGCTTCTAATGATCACTGTATATGTCTACGATATCCATAGTTGTTCGCTTCTAATGATCACTGTATATGTCTACTAGATCCATAGTTGTCAGCTTCCATTGATCACTGAATGTGTATATGAGATCCATAGTTGTCAGCTTCTAATTGTCACTGAATAGTGAATATGTCTTTGAGATCCATAGTTGTGAGCTTCTAATGATCACGGACTATGTCCATGAGATCCATAGTTGTCAGCTTCTAATGATCACTGACTATGTCCACGAGATCCATAGTTGTCAGCTTCTAATGATTACTGAATGTGTCTATGAGATCCATGGTTGTCAGCTTCCAATGATCACTAAATGTGTCTACGAGATCCTCTCATGATCACTGAATATGTCAACGAGATCCACAGTTGTCAGCTTCCAATGATCGCTGAATATGTCTACGAGATCCATAGTTGTCAGCTTCTAATGATCACCGAATATGTCTATGAGATCCATAGTTGTCAGCTTCTAATGATCACCGAATATGTGTATGAGATCGATAATTGTCAGCTTCTAATGATCACTGAATATGTCTATGAGATCCATAGTTGTCAGCTTCCAATGATCGCTGAATATGTCTACGAGATGCATAGTTGTCAGCTTCTAATGATCACCGAATATATCTATGAGATCCACAGTTGTCAGCTTCCAATGATCACTGAATATGTCTATGAGATCCAGAGTTGTCAGCTTCCAATGATCACTGAATATGTCGATGAGATCCCTAGTTGTCAGCTTTCAATGATCACTGAATATGTCTATGAGATCCAGAGTTATCAGCTTCCAATGATCACTATAAATCCTTAGTTATATCAAGTGAAAATAGAGAAACGGAGTCAAGTCAATAAGAAATTATTAAGCCTATCACATTAATTTTCAATGACGCGCCTTTGATTTTATAAAAAATGCCTAACTTTGTGACAAAGAATTTCATCCTGCTTGCAGCGAGAAGACGGACCGGTTCGGGGCAATCTGCTTGCAGCGAGAAGACGGACCGGTTTGGGGCAATAGCTGATGAAATTATTTGTCACAAAGTTTGGCATTTTTTATAAAATCAAACGCGCGTCATTGAAACTCACAAGATGTAAATAGCATGTCATTTACATCATACCTTGATGGGGAAAAATAGATCTTATATGTTAGAAGTACTAAATAAAAGTTATCGTGAAAATGAGACAGTCGTTCTTGAGAGAAAATAGCATAAATGCGCATTTAGAGAGTTTTGGTCCGTTTAAAAATCTGTAAAAAATTGGGGTACTTAAAAGCATCGGGAGGCATCATATATTTCAAATTAAACACGAGGAAGTCAATATTGAGCAAGTTATGGCTATTTTAAATTCAAATAAAACCGTTAACCTGTACCCAGTACCGGTCCAGCTTTTGACCCGTACCGGTCAATTTTCGTTAGCTGTGTATACCAAGGGTGGTTATGTGAATTAAGGAACATATAATTATTCAATGTTGTGAATGTTAAATAACAATCTTATTAACTATGAGATCCAGAGTTGTCAGCTTCCAATGATCACTGAATATGTCGATGAGATCCCTAGTTGTCAGCTTTCAATGATCACTGAATATGTCTATGAGATCCAGAGTTATCAGCTTCCAATGATCACTATAAATCCTTAGTTATATCAAGTGAAAATAGAGAAACGGAGTCAAGTCAATAAGAAATTATTAAGCCTATCACATTAATTTTCAATGACGCGCCTTTGATTTTATAAAAAAATGCCTAACTTTGTGACAAAGAATTTCATCCTGCTTGCAGCGAGAAGACGGACCGGTTCGGGGCAATCTGCTTGCAGCGAGAAGACGAACCGGTTTGGGGCAATAGCTGATGAAATTATTTGTCACAAAGTTTGGCATTTTTTATAAAATCAAACGCGCGTCATTGAAACTCACAAGATGTAAATAGCATGTCATTTACATCATACCTTGATGGGGAAAAATAGATCTTATATGTTAGAAGTACTAAATAAAAGTTATCGTGAAAATGAGACAGTCGTTCTTGAGAGAAAATAGCATAAATGCGCATTTAGAGAGTTTTGGTCCGTTTAAAAATCTGTAAAAAATTGGGGTACTTAAAAGCATCGGGAGGCATCATATATTTCAAATTAAACACGAGGAAGTCAATATTGAGCAAGTTATGGCTATTTTAAATTCAAATAAAACCGTTAACCTGTACCCAGTACCGGTCCAGCTTTTGACCCGTACCGGTCAATTTTCGTTAGCTGTGTATACCAAGGGTGGTTATGTGAATTAAGGAACATATAATTATTCAATGTTGTGAATGTTAAATAACAATCTTATTAATTAAGCAAAGAATGTTTATAATTCAACACGATCGTTTGAAAGTATTAGCCGCAGAATATTATGAATAAAATTAAATAATGTAAAGATATGTGCATACAACTTCACATGAAACCTTGGGCTCTATTTATATTGTAACTTTGCCGGCCCGTAGCCAGGGGCCAGAAATTCTTTCAAAATCATGCAGTTTTTCACCATTCTGAGCACTTTTCGCATGATTTTTGCCAAAAACTGTCAAAAAGCTCCTCCCTTGACAAAAACTCCCCCTTGGTAACCCCCCCCCCCCAGGTAAATCTGGCAACGGGCCTGCTTTGTAAGGTATTCTAAAGGTTATGAAATGAATTCAATATTATTACTAGTTCTCGCATAGGGCTAGGGCTTGGCTCATTTAGTTACATAATTTCATGTTTCGAGGAGAGGGGTTAAAATGAACAAACAGGGATGCGCACCGTGATGCGTGAGATTTTGAAATTGTGAATTTATACTAAGTAAGTAAGAGAGAAGTTTTTCTTACAAAATATATTTTTATCGCGATTTTCCAAAACTGTGGAATGAATAGGCTAAATAAACGATATAGGCAAAATAAAATCCCACTGAAGTATCGGTTGCTAGGCTTTTCTGTTGATTAGTAATACTTTTTTTCATTTTATTTACATCAGGACAATTTAGAAATGTTATTCATAGTGCTAGGATGTATCAAATGAAAAGTGATCGTGAAACATTGACAAATAATAATTCAATCTTGTTGAGCCAGTTGATTTCTACGGGGATCTCAGAAATGAACAAATACGGCGACCCTGCGGCCTGTAAAAAACTGGATACGCCATACGGAGGCGGCAAGGCGAGCGCAGAAATACACTGATTTAATTGATCTGCGGTCGACGTACGGCCGCCGTACGACAAATGCAGTGACTGGGGTGTTAGTGTCCTTGTAACTAGGCCATTATGAATCAGTCCAAAGAGGGTCACACCCGGGAGTCACAGTGACATCACATGCCATGCTGTCTGACTTTAATGAGAGCATGCCAATCGATGGCACCATTCAAGGACATATTTAAAGGAATATTCTACCTCAATATTTTCAATTGCTGTTTTGATATGCATGGTGGGCGAATCTGCCATGTATCATCGTGGTATCATCTCTTGTTGCATCGTGGACCTAGCCAGGCATTTGCGAGAGGCAACTGCATCAGCAAAATATAGTAAATTAGACGTTAAAATTAACGTCTAAATTTGCCTCGCCTATTTACATTGGCCTCGCCTAATTTCTTATACTGGCTACGTCCCTGCACCATCAAACCACTGGATTCAAACCCTTCTTCCTATTTTTATTCTATTTTATGGTTCCTAATCCTGAGTCATAATAACTGCAATAACCTAACTAGACCATGGGCTTTCAACTAGAGTTGAAAGCCCATGACTAGACTAAGGGGAAGAACAAACAAACCCGTCTGTATTTGGCCCAGTTATCTACTCCTGACGTATACGACTCATTCTGATACTCATATCATCTTTCTGAAACATGCTCTGATATTCATATTGATTATGAGACATATTCTGTGATGCACATCAGATTGGAGGAGTTATAACTGTCAATAAGTATGATAGTTATCGTGTAATCATTTATCTTAATGTCAATACATTACATAACACAGGGGCATTGTAATTAACAGCAGATATTAGCACAGGTACAGGTAAGCTACACAAATTTTATGACCCGAATTAGATGAAATATGAGCTGGGATGAAAGATCTCAAAAATCACCAATTTTGGGCTCTCCTGGATCGCCAAAACAACGCTCATTATATCATGGCATCTCAGGGCTGAGAAGAATTGAGATGTCATGGTTTATCATGATGTCTACGATTGCTTTGGTTAGATTTTAGATTTTAGTTTGCGTTGGCTACTATGGGCCGATCTGACATATCTTGTGGCCCCGATCAAATTAAAATTCAAATTAAAAAATAAGCAGGATGTTGAGTTTAGCTTGTTGAAAAGAATCAGCTGAGGAATGATCAAACAGTGAAATTATCAGTATAATTTATGCAAGGGTTGTAATTTCTCGTTCACTTGAAAAACAGAAAAAGTAGGGTGGAATACTCCTTTAAAATTCTATCTGTACTTTTAACCGGACTCCACGTGACATGTGACCCCACTTTTGACCTTTTACTGTACAAAATGGCGCGCAGGTTGAAGCACTGAAATTCAGCTGCACGTTTTCTCAGAAATTCACTCATTTGTATATGTAGTTCATGATGTAGTAGCAACTGACTACAGACATGGGGATATATCCGTCGTTAGTGACAATAATTTTAGTTGTTATATCAGTAAAGAGAACACAACAGGCAGCTATAACAACTGATTTTACATTTTCCACAATAAAAAGAGAAACAAATTCTGATGTGAATGCAGACTCTGGTGTGGTGAGTGCGTTTTCTACATTTTCTAATAGACTAATAGAGTGGAGGTTGAAGACGAGAAAACATTAAGATTTCAGAGGCGTAGCTAGCCCATTTTGCGAGTGTACCGTATGATTTCCCGGTTTTATCAAAATTAACAAAACGATGGTTCCATAAAATAGGAAGATCCCGGGTGTTCAGAAGATAAGGGACACACTAAACACTCTTAATTCAATGAAGGAAATATGTATTGTTTGATCATTTTGACATAGCTTTTTAAAGGGATTGAATTAACTGTATCAACAGATAATATTCGGGAAACAAAATAGACAGATTCTATATAATCATGCCATCGTCGATCGAAGCCGTCTATCAAGGCGATTTTATTTTTTAGGCTACCTAAAACTGTTTGTATGAGGCTCATTGTTTTAAGCTTTTGTGGTCATTCTCCATGAAATATTATTATTTTTCTGTGTTTGTTTTTATCTAGCTCACAAGATGATTAACAATAAAAGAACAGTTACACGACCGTCTCAACTCCATTTCGGATCTTAACAATCTGTACGTGATTCTATAGAATAAATTCTATCTTTCTGTTTTTTGCATTTGCGAACATGTCAATAACAGTATCAATGTTTATATCCTGTTCCCTATGGATATGTATCATGGCCAAGGAAGAAAGTCTTTCCTCGTTCATTGTGGAACGCAAGTATGACTTAATGCGTTTCAAACTGCTAAAGCTTCGTTCAGCCACGCAAGTGGATACTGGCAATGTTAGCAGCTTGACCAAACACGTGTAGACATCGGGGTAAAGAGGTTGGGGGGTCTGTTGAATAGTGTCAATAAGAGTTGCTGGGATGTTTATTTTTCATCACAATTAATCAGGTAAATTTTATTTTTCCTTTGAGAGTACGCCTGGGCGTACTTGGCGTACACGTAGCTACGCCACTGATTTAGATCTACCAATATTGATTCCCCTGGATTGATTCAAGCCTATTGAATTTCAGCTAAGTAAAAATCGGCTAAAGATGGCAGGTGGAGGCGTTGTCCTGGGGGGGGGGGGGGCACTTAATACTTTCAATGTCATTAGAATGTTAACCTAAAGATCTTGTTTGAAACTTCAACTCCTGGTTTATTCAAACTCGATACTCTTGTTGCCTGCAGTGGAACAATTTAGTAAAGGTATTTCTATATCTTTTGACCAAGTATTTTGTTGAAAGGATGTCATTAAGTTACCTTCTTCTAAGGCCACTGTATCGTGGCCTTCCAGTACAGATATATTCCTGCATGAACAACTGGTCATGTCGTAATCATAAAATTTGAAATCATATGTCCGCCATTTTTCCACATCACAATTTGAATTGCGAGTTTTGGTCTTATTACCTCACCAAAAATTCCAAAACACACACAAAGTGATCAGTGTATTAGTTCACATCTTCTGGATCGCTAACTTAGAATTTACAGCCAGTTACTAATGTCAGACGTAACGACATTTCGTCCAGTTTTCGAACATCGCCATTTTTCTTGGAGCCATTTTGTTTTAATTTTAGACGAAATCCTGATGAAATCATGTCATATCTCATCAAGGAGCCGAGCTGGGTCCGGTTTGATTAATGATTTATTTATCTGGCGATTTTTAAAATATTCAATAAATTTATGAAACCCCGGCAGCTTTTTTCAAATAGAGTTCACAGTATTCCAGATGAATCCCCTCTAGCCAAGTATTGGCTAGAGACTCGAGTAATCATTAAGCATTAAGAATATTATGGTAGTATTCAACATTTCCTCAACTTAAAAATTTTGGACATGTACCTACTGAATACCTTCATGTTTTTCTTAGATCATAAGCATTACTGATAACGCAGTGACAACCAATGTTCCCGATACAACAACCAATGATCCCCATGGCACAACCACTGACACCTCTGGTATAACCAGCGATCACCATGGAACAACCCCTGAGTCCCACAGAACAACCCATGGGGATACAACACATTCTGATGAAGCCCATGGTGGATCAGGGCATGGCCGATATCCGGTAGTAACATTCAACTTTGAGCATGTTGCTGCCCCTTATGTCATAGCACTATGGGTTCTCTTGGCAAGTTTGGCCAAAATTGGTGAGTGAAAGATAATTAATATTAGCCATTGGTAGATTTCCTTAAGTGTTCACCCAAAAAATTTTGAGAGAGTCAAACTCCATCATGGCATGGCACATTTTCTAAAATTTCACAATTTTTAAAGATTGGGCTTGATTTTGAACAGTTTTCATTTATTCTTAATTATGGGCCCTAATTTTCAGAAGGGCATACATTTTCAAAATTAGTTGAGCATTAGTCCACATTGAGGAATGAGGAGTGCAAATTTTGTTTCTAAAGGCTATTGACTGTTATAATGAACACTTGTTTTATGCAATGTCCTACTAAATTCTGAAAACTTTAGTATAACTCATTAGTAAACACTAAAAAAGGATTAAAATATACAACATGACTTTATCTTTATACTGTATGTATTGTTCTGTTACTGATACATTGAAGTGTGACAGAATTATAAATATTTTTCAAGATGAATTTTATTGTTTTCGTACCAACCCTTGGGATAACAATTTAGGAGTGCGAAGAGTACAAATATTTCAAAATTTAGGTTTATTTATCTTTTATTTCATTTTTATTAGTGGTTTATTCAAGAGTGAATAAATCATAAGATTAAATTATGACAGAAAGTATATATGTACTGGAACATGTACTGTTACTTACCTTTAGTTTTAATTAAAGGGCCAGTAGCTGTAATTTTGCCCCTAAATATTTTCATTTTGGATCATGATATGTTCCGTATTACGGAATAATAGACTTGAATATAAGACTTCCTTAGTGTTTATTGAAGGTTGAAAAAATGTTTATGTAGAAGCTGTAAAATGTGTTAGTAGATTTTTTTGAAATTTTCATACTCCCCACAAGGTGAAAATTTCAGATTTAAACCTAGACTTTAGGTGCATTTGATTCACATCCATAAAATAAGGTCAATTTAGAAAATGAATACATGTACACTGACTTTTCATTCAAAATGATGGTTTTATTTATTGATACTTAGTATATGTTTCTATTGTATGTATTTTGATTCAAAAGAAAACAAAAACTGATAAAATTTAAAGTTAACAATCTCAAAGCAAACTGTTTTATTTATACTCGAGTATTAATGTTTTTCACTTTCAATGCTCTGTTAATTTATTGCAGTAAATAAGGAACTACTGTTGAAAAAATAACTTTTTTGTATTTTTGTGAAAAATATTTACATTCAAAACACATTGACCTGTAAATCTAGTAATATCAACGAAATCAAAGCTTATTTGTCAGATTATTGTGTTTTCTTGTTTGTGTTCATATTGACCATGAAGGTTCAAATTAGAAGGTTCAAATTCTATGAGAAGATGTGTATTTGGACCTTGGGGGGGGGGGGGGGGGGGGCTTAATAAGATTGTTTTAAATTCACAAATAGACCCACTAGCAGGAAGTTGCCAGTGAAAATATGTTGTAGCGTAATTATTATGTTTGTGGACCTAAATAAATATATTTTCATGAATTTATCAAATGATGTTTTTTCAGGATTCCATTTGCAGAATAGGCTAGCCTCAATCTTCCCAGAGTCCTGCATGCTCATAATCCTTGGGGTGCTTCTTGGATTGATTTTCTTCCTCGTCAATGGCCTCCATCATTCGTTATTCTACACTTTAGATGCGACAACATTTTTCTTATTTCTGCTGCCACCTATAATACTAGAAGCGGGGTATTTCATGCCAACTCGGGCATTTTTTGACAACATTGGAACGATATTGACATTCGCAGTAATTGGTACTCTATGGAATACATTCGCAATTGGACTTTGTTTATATGGTCTTATATATGGTGGCGTCATAGATTTGAACCTTGGATTTTTGCCGTGCATGGTATTTAGCAGTTTGATATCAGCAGTGGATCCTGTTGCAGTTTTGGCAGTTTTTGAAGAGATTCATGTCAATGAAGTGTTGTACATCGTCGTGTTTGGGGAATCACTACTTAATGATGCTGTTACTGTGGTAAGTATGAACTTAATATTTTCTTTCTATTATCCCAACTAACAGAGTTTGGTAAGGATATAACGAAGCCCTCCATTTGTCTGTCCGGAAAATAATTCAAATACTAGAAGTTGGATTTTTTCATATCTTGTATCCCCTACCCATCTATTTCCCTGTCATGGTAACTTACAGGGTTTTGGATATTGGTTATAAGTGTGTACATTAGAAGAACTGTAAGTCACACCTTCCATTCGACACCTCTACCAATCATCAACAGCTCCACCAAGATGCATTTTCCCTGTAAGACACTCTCCCCATTTGATATCTCAATCCCAGAGACAAGCAGTGTCAGGCCAAAGGACAGGGTTGGTATCATCCAGCCGCGTCGGTGATCTGACATATCAACCATGTCTAAGCTCTGCCCAGCATAGACACAAGCTCTACCTAGACCCTAGTTGAGCTCCAGAACACCTCATAAAACAATCATCAGTGTTCTGAGCTAGGCACTGTATATATTACCCTCCTCAATGGACACTTCAATCCCAGACACGAGCATTGTCAAACCAAAAGACAAGGTTGGTTCTACCCAGCTGTATCAGTGATCTGACATATCAACCATGTCTAAGCTCTGCCCAGAGTAGACACAAGCTCTAACTAGACCCTAGTTGAGCTCCAGATCACCTCACATAGCAATCATTGGTGTTCTGAGTTTTGGCACTGTTCCTCACCCTCCTCAATTGACACCCTAATCCCAGACACGAGCATTGTCAAATCAAAAGACAAGGTTGGTTCTACCCAGCCGTATCAGTGATCTGACATATCAACCATGTCTAAGCTCTGCCCAGCTAAGACACAAGCTCTAACTAGACCCTAGTTGAGCTCCAGAAAACCTCTTAAAACAATCATTGGTGTTCTGAGTTGTGGTTCTGACAATCAAATGTTTCGTGAGAAGTTATATATAAAAATCATAAATAATGACTCAACTATTTTAACTTTGGAGTTATGTTTTTCAGTGTTTTGATTAAAACAACTGGAATAAATAATCATTGAATAACACAACTTTTAACATTGCATTTTTTTAATTGTGATGCATCACTTTATTAGTGAAAATGTAATGGGATTGATTTAATAATATCATTTATTGCTTGCTTGGTCATTCAATCTGGGGGATTTAGCAGGGTATATGTTTGTTGTACAAGTATAAAGAGGTGAATAATTTAACTAATAAACTTGTTCATAAATTAGCTGATTTATTACTTGGGATAGGTGTCAAAAATATCCAATCACAGTGCACTAGTTTCTGCATTAAAATCTAAAGGAATATTTTGCATTGACTATCTTCAGTCCTGAACAGTAAACAAATGTAAAGTAGGTGTTGCACTTTTTCATTATTGGAAGCATGGGCTTTCAACTATAGTTGAAAGCCCATGTTGGAAGTTATTAGAACGATGCAGATGCAGAAGTAAAGGTGGAATTATTATATCAGCACCAGAAGTGGCAGTCCAGGATTTCTCAAGGGGAGGGTCGCTTTTTAAAAATTCCAGGGTGGGTTCATTATTGACAATTCTGACGCAAAATCACTTGAAGTAGTGCTCACCATAAATAAATGACACCTGGATTTTATATCACCATTTCCAGACCATGGTGATTTGAGACTTCATACTTTCAGATTTTACCTTCAAATTTTCAGTAATAACTTTCAGATATGTTTAAGGACAGGGTGCATGTTGGGAAATTTTCTGCATTCCTCAATTGAGTCACATGTTATTTTTCAAACAAGAATAACTCCTTCCCCACATTGTCTACATCTTCCAAGTTTGCACAAAGAGTGCACTTATGTGCCTAGAAAAGCCTTGTGAGAAGGTTTGTTTTGTAAAATGTATAAAAAATGAGAAAATTCAGTGAAAAAAATTTCTGAAATTTTTCTGATTTTTTTCACTGAATTTTCTTGTTTTCTATACACTTTATCAAAACATTCTTCTCACAAGTCTTTTCTAGGCACATAAGTGCACTCTTTTTGCAAAACTGGAAGATATAGACAATGTGGGGAAGGAGTGATTCTTGTTTGAAAAATAACATGTGACTCAATTGAGGAATGCAGAAAATTTCCCATCATGCACCCTGACCTTAATACCAAGACGTTCAATCAGTTCACCGGAAAATGCTATCAGTTCACCAGAAAATGCTCTTATTTCAAAAGATTGTAACATTTTTTGGGGAAATTTTCACATAACATCCAAAAAAGATCTGGTAACTGATTTGTAAAAAATCAGCATCTCTACTTTAATTGTGAAAAGATAATGGTTACTATGGTAATCTGAATTTAAGGTAAATCTGACAATTATTTGGCCAAAAGAGAACCTTTTTTGATTCATTGTGACCGATTCAGAATTTTCTGTATCTTAATCTCCATATTTGGTCAGATGTCTAAATGAAATTAGGATTTTAAATGAAATAGTGGCATGATATTTGAAAAACATCATATCGACATAAGTCATTTATATTTTGTCCTCAGGAATCAGTATATTTTATGTTGGAGGTGTGGCTATTGTAAACTTTGTATGTTTAGTTTGACTTTGTACCCAACTTTTATATAAAAATCGTTATAAGAGATTTTGAGAGCATGTCCCCAATCAAAATTAAAGTTTATATACCCCTGAATGTAGTGTCACATTTTGATGTCATTCTTTGTAGTTCCAATTTTGAGCATTCTCTGCAGTGTCACATTTTGAACATTCACTGCAGTCACATTTTTAGCATTCACTAATAATGTCACATTTTGAAAATTCTTGATTGCCACCTTTTGAGAATTCACTGTAGTGACACATTTTGAACATTCACTGTAGTGTCACATTTTGAGAAATCACTGTAGTGACACATTTTGAACATTCACTGTAGTGTCACATTTTGAAAATTCGCTGCAGTGTCACATTTTGAACATTCACTGTAGTGTCACATTTTGATGTATTTCACTGTAGTGTCACATTTTGAATATTCCCTTTAGTGTCACATTTTGAATATTCACTGCAGTGTCACATTTTGAACAATCATTATTATGTCACATTTTGACCATTCACCATAGTCATGTGTCACATTTTGTGCATTAACTCTAGTGTCACATTTTGAACATTCACTGCATTCTCATGTATGTAAATAAATATCCAAATGAATATTTTCATTTTTAGGTTTTGTATCACATGTTTGAGACATACACTGAAATGGGCCAGGAAGAGGTCCAAGCTGTGGATGTCATATCTGGAACAGTGTCATTCTTTATTGTTGGAATAGCAGGCCTACTGTTTGGTGTCATGTTTGGGCTCCTTGCTAGTTTTGTGACGAAGTTTACAAGTCATGTGCGTGTCATTGAGCCTGTGTTTGTATTTGTCATGGCAATGTTAGCATATTACAGCGCAGAGATTTTCCACTTCTCTGGCATTATGGCGTAAGTATTTTTAAAAATGTAGTGGTACCTTCATTAACACTTTGTCAAAATGCTCATATAAAATATGTTATCTCCTGGAAACTGACAAGGGGTACTGAGTCCAAATTGTGTAACCAATCAGGTAACACACACATGGATTTTTCCAAATAAGACCCATTTTCTCAAAAGACCTCCACATTTGAAATTAAAATGCTTTATGAAGAAACCTTACATTTAGTTTCATTTGTTCCAAACAACATTTCTGTACATGTATTTTCAGCCTTATTTTCTGTGGGATTTCAATGAAGAAATATGTCGAACAAAACATTTCTGCCAAGTCCCACACAACAGTGAAATACTTCATGAAAATGTTATCCTCAATTATGGAGACCATCATCTTCATGTTCCTTGGTCTCTCCACAGTCACTTGGAACCATGCTTGGAACACTGGCTTTGTCTTCTTCAGCCTTCTCTTTGTCTTCATCTTCAGGTTTATAGGTAGGAGTTTAATAAAAAGAATAGAAGAACATAGTGGCCTGTTTTTTCTGAATAGGGTGCTAAATCTTGATCTTACCAGTTTTTTCTTCAGGTTTATTATACATGCATTTTGTGTGTACTACTATATTGTTACATGTATGGTCAGATTTTATGGAACAAAAGCATGCCTTCAAATATCATCATTGACTATGATTTTGATTTTGATAGTGAAAATATAAAAGTACCAATACTCCCAATAGACTAGATGCGAGTACAAATAATCTTGATTTACGTCATTAAATATTCAAAATTCAGTCAAAGTGATGTCATATTTGAAATCTACATGTAAAAGTACATCTAAAAATATGGGTTCGAAAGTTGTTTATCAACTTTGAAAATTTAATTTTTTTTGAAAATGTGACTTCTTGTTCGGGTTGATTCCCCATAGACCCCATGTTACAAAATTACAAAAAGTGAAATATCTTTTCTTGTGTTGGACAGATAACATTTTCTTTTACTGGACATATTTTAATTTGCATAACTATTAGATACATAAGGGTTATATGAAAATTGAACCACTAAAACAGAAGTAATTTAAGTTAAAGGGAACTTTCTTCTATACCCGCCATGCTATCTGACCCGAACGAGCCACCTGGTGGTGAAACTAGTAACTACCTACTCGCATCTGCGTTATTCTTATATACACGAGTCTTCACAAAAAAATCATTCATCAATACTTGTACTTGTACCAATTTTCAGAATGAAGTCAATGATTAATTTCAATGATTTTCAGGTGTACTTGGACTTACTGCAGTCTGCAACCATTTCCGTGCCATCCAGATCAACTATGTAGATCAGTTCATTATGGGATATGGTGGTCTCCGTGGCGCTATTGCATTCTGTCTTGTCATCTTATTGGATGAAAAAGTGATTCCTGAGAAACAGGTTCTTGTAACGACAACTATAGTGATTGTCTACTTCACAAACTTTGCACAAGTAAGATTTTAGCCAATAGTCATCAAAATTCTTGGAAAATTACTTGTACCTATTCAAATTGAAATGTTAAAGTGTAAAGGGCAGACTCGTGCCAAGATCTGACTAGGTTTTGATGCTGGGTAAATAACTTTTTGAATTTTTTAATAAAAATGTGATGTTTATAACTTGTCTTGTTATCAAGATCCCAGTATAATCCACTTGTGCTGTTAATGTTCAACTTCAAAAACAAAGATTCAGTTTTCACTGTTTCATAGAAAACAACTCTATGATTTACCCCTTCTAAACAACAGGAGATGTACAACCTAAGAGATTCAGGGAATTACAAGTTATGGCAAATAAATAAATTTATTTTATCCCATACTTGGACGTGTTACAGGTACATAAAGCCGGGTTTGTAAAAACTTCTATTTTCATCAGCGGGCAGATATAGCTTTACGTCCCGCTCCGAGCAGGCAGATATAGTATATCTGCCCGCTACGTCACAATCGCTGCTCGCATATTTGTTCATAATTTGTAACGTTCGCGTAATGACTGTAAACTACAATGGAGAAAACACAGACAATCGGGATCTGTTTGATGGTTTAAAAAGGGGGAGGAGCATCCACTTATTAATAATCAATCAAAAATTTGAGAAAATAAATGTGGGAATATTTGAAAGAACAGGAAAATCCGCCCACGGCTAAAAAAACAAAACTGGACATGAATATTCTAAAATATTTCCACAAATGAACAATGTGAACCAGATGACCAAGATTGGTATGGGATAAACATATTATCCTATAGTCGGTTCAGGATATCGGGATTATCCCTTGGCCAATACAATATATTTTCCCTCGGGACCTGCGGCCCTCGGGCAAATATATTATATTTGCCTCGGGATAATCCCAATATCCTGAACCTCATATAGGATAATCTCTATATATACAGTATATATAAAGTTATAAATGTCAGTATGAGATGACAAATTCAGGAAAGCCTTTTTTATGTCACCACCAAAAGCTGTTGAGGGGTTTTGTTGTGTTCGACGTATAATATGCTGTGTCTCTATTTTCCAGGGTATAACCATCAAACCAATAGTGAACCTGCTCCGTGTGAAGAAACAGCTAAAATTCAAACCATCTTTGAATGAAGAAATTAATGGAAGAGTGAGTATCAGATTTATGTTGACTTTGGATTACATAAACAATTTTCATAAAAATATGGCAGTGTAGTGCATTCCATGTCTCGTCTTCTACGTTTCTGCCATCTTTATATCTGCCTAAAATCTATGCATTTCATATTTGTAGTAATCACAGGACTCTGTGTTCTGTGACAGGCGCATAACCAGGCATATGCAAAGCAAGGGTATGCAGTTGCGTACCATAAATGATGGCGCAAAACAATTGTTGTAAAAAATGGAAAAGTAAAGCAAAATATTTTGTTTCATGATCTTTCTTGGACTACATTGTACTTCTCCATAACACAGTCTGATATCACTCAGAACGCACCATCTAAGGTCTAAAATCAAAAAATTTCCTGATCCCCTAGTTTTGCTCAGCCTTCAGCCTCTGCTATCAAAATCCTGGTTACGCCGCTGTGTGATGTCATATCAGTTACATAAGGCCAATAGCCGGGGGTGGAGGTGGTTCGAGCAAACACCCCCTTGGCCAAATTTTTTTTTAAATTGTGCAACTTTTTACCATTCTGAGCACTTTTCAGGTGACTTTATTTGTCCCAATCAGAGATTAGTTTTCACCAACATATTGGCATCAGGGTTGTTGAAAATGTGATATTGTTTCAGTTGATGGATCACACTAACGCTGGCATTGAAGATATAGTTGGTACATACGGATCAAGTGGCATAAGAGAGAGGTAAGTCTTATATTTATTTGTATTATCAAGCAGGATATCATAATAAGGAATCATGTGTAAGATGGTAGTTTAGCATGGTATTTGTTACATAGCAAAAATTGGATTACAAACATGAATATGTTTAACAACAGTTATTAAAGATGGCAGCACAGAATAATACAATGAAGAATGATATAAAGATGGCAGCACAGGGTTATACAATAGATAACAGGTTAAACCATGTTCAAATGTGAAAAAAACATTTGGGCATGATTCATGATTTTGTTAAAATCTACTAAATTTGAATTTCACTTATTATTTCGAGACAATCTTTTTTAAAAATGTTTGTGTTTCGGTCAAAATTGAGCATGATCTGATGATTGAAGTTTGTAATTTGGAAATTAAAACAAATTAAGGACGTCCTTGAAGAAAGTAAGTTTTCGAATGTGTAGGATTCTGGATATTGAACTTCTTCAATTTGAATTGTTATTTATTGGATGATAAACATTTTTGATATTTCACCATAAACAATCACCAAGCCCTTTTATAATGGGATAAGTAATTAATGGACACCTGATACCTATACCAAAATTATAGTATGGGGTATCCCCATTTGATTATGCATGTATATTTTACACACAGTAGTTAATTAGCATGCTTACCAAGTGGTTGTGGTGAGTGGGAAATGAAGTCAATAAAGAATGAAAATATTCAATGTTTTGGAGACACAGTTTGTAAAAACAAATAAAATTTGGAAACAACAGCCCATTTATTAGAACAAAGACATGTTTTATATGTCTATGATTAGAACTGAGCTACACCAAGCAACACAGTGTGACAAATTTTTTTATTATTTATTATTTAATTAAATGATAACAAAATTGAAAAAAATGTAAAACAAATCTTTAAGAAAATTGTTTTGTCTCACTTATGCCACAATTGCACCTCCCCCCCTGACTGAAAACCGAAAGAATTGGCGATTACACCCCCCCCCTCCCTCCCGGCTGAAAGCTGGCTATGCCCCTGATAAGTGTTTTAACAAGTTTTCAAAATTTTTAATTTGAAAAGCAAATATCAGCAAATAAGAAAAATTAAACATTCATTTCTAAAAGTTTTGTGTCTCTGGCCATTTATGATTTCTTTGAGTTCCTTACATAACTTTTATTAACTATTTTCCTACCAATAATATTGAACTTAAAGGTGTTTACCAGTGAGATAAGCCAGATCTCTTAGGTTCAACTATCAAAATACTGTTAGGACCCAATCTACTTTTATATAGCGCTATGTCCATAGGGACTTGTGAGCTTGTTGAATATTGGAAGCCATTGATTGGTCAATATCAATATTAACCAATTCCCAATCCCAATGCACATCCCAATGTTATATAAATGTAATACCAGTAAGCACAAGTCTTCCCATGTGACTTTTGTATAAAATCTTAGGATCCCCAAATATGCTTTCTTAAAATTTGAGAAAATGATTTGTCATTAAATATTGTCTTTTACTAATTAACCGGCTTTGATTCGGATTGTGGTTCCCTGAGCAGACTATGCTTGCAAAGAGGAGCAAAAATGTTTTTGACCATCAAAGTACATGTAGGTGGTTTTTGTAATTATTGTAATTATTTTGGGCAATATGAAGATAATATTTAGGTTCTAAATAGGTCTTTATTAAAGATGGGCTCCCATTGACCCACCCCTTGGTTAAACAGTGCGAAATATTAGTGTACAGGGATTCACATAAAGGGTATAACAATGGAAAACTAGTGTACAGGGGTTCCCATAAAGGGTCACAAATTGTCTTCATTCAATTTGGATTATGTTCTGGTGCATATGAATGTGGCCTCCTTATGTTTTTGTTTGGTGATTAATGAATTACTTGGTCAATGGTGAGACCTTTGGCTTTCTGGTTTTCATGGAGAGACCTGTGGACTTAGTGAACTCATTGCCCTGAAATGAAAAAGAGGCTAGCCAAATAGCCTCTTTCACTGTGAAATCCAATAATTCATGATAGAACGATAACAAAGAGCTGTCAAGTAGACTAGCCAGTCACATAGTATGGTAGTTCAGAAAGGGGGAACTGAGAAAGAAGTCCAAGAATGAAACCAAAATTACCATCGGATACCATGGAGGATATCTGTGAAAGGTAGGTGACTGACTTGAGCATCATTTCAAGATCTATTTCTGCAATTTCTATGAATCTGGGGTGTTTAGAATCCCCGTTTTCAGAAATTTATTGGTCCCATCTGTTTCTTCTTGTTGTAGTTTTCGAATGGAAAATCTGTATTCTAGGATTATATCGACTGTGTACATAATGAATCTAAGTATTTAGTCGTTGGGTAAACGTACTGTAATGTAGAGCAGATTGATTGACTTTGGTGTCAAACCATGGGCTAGAAATGCTTTAATTCGATGAATATGTGTGTATTCAATAACACAAAGGCTAAATGTAGTTGAATATGGAGGTCATATAAATTATGCTCATAAGGAGTACAATAGTCTGAAAGTACATTTTAGCAAAAGTGTGCCTTGTTCAGTAGGGTTTAATTTACAGGAGCGTTTTGTACTTTTGTGAGTGCAAATTACTAGGTATAAATGTATCTGGCATATGTTTTGAAATTATATAATTAGACCCATCATGATATTATTAGTACTGATGTATGTACTGTGCTTGAAATCTTCAATACAATGAACACATTTATTGTCGTTTTTCTACATGAAATGCAAACAATATCTAAAATATCAGATTTAACAACTGATTTTAAAGTACTTGTTATTATTCAATGTTGTTCTCTCATTCAATTGTATCCGCATTAAAATATGACATCTGTGATTTCATTGCTAGGATATCATTTATAATTGAGGTTAACATAAGGTCAAATATTTCATCTGCTCAGGTCATCATTTGACCAGTCAATGACAAAAGTCGTCTGCATCTGCTTATTCCCCTTATTTTCTCTCTAAAAGTTGAAAAAAGCGTCAAATTTTCTCTGCAATATGGAGCGTCTGTGTCAACTATAAACTTCTTGTTTATTTCTGTTATTTCCTTTCCATATCATTTCATATTACAATTTTACATCTTATCATTTTATACTAAACCAGGTCATATTAGTTCATATGATATAATTGACCATCTTATGATCAGGTACTAAATGACCTGTATAAAATGGATGTATTATTAACATGATAAATGAGAAATAACCCAGACATGACCCCTAGAAATTACCCCTCATATATGACCTTTAGACAAGACCCCCCCCCCCCCCATCCTTGGTGGAAGGGTCTTTCAATTTATTCCATGAGCTGGGACAGTGTTCAGATGTTAGTTTAGAACTAAACTGTGCCCCCAGGGTAATGGATTTGAGATACAATATGTAAATCTGACTAAACTTGGATATCTTATCATGAACTCAAGATGAATTCTACTTCTATCTTGTGTTTATTGCCATTCTGTTTGGATAGAATCAATTCATGAGAATATGATCTAACTCTACCTGTACATGTAATTGTATATGGTCAATTATGATACTGTGGCACTAACCCAATATTGGCATGATGCACATATATAGAAAATCATGTTAAGAATACAAAATAATGGGATCTCAAAGAATAACAGCTAGAATATGACTATCAAATTCCCCTGACATCTTCTCAATAGAGGTCTGACTTAAAAGTACAAGCTAAGTCTACCCTTTGCATAAAGTATGCTAAGTCTACCCTTTGCATTCGTTTGACCTATACCTCTTTCAGACAGTTAAAGGATGAAGGAATAAAACAGTGAATGATATCTGACATTTTGCATTTTGGTTGCTGAATTTTGTCAGTTTTAGAAGTAGTAAATCAAGGCCATGTACCCCTGCCCAGTTAAAGTAGCATGGGGGGGGGGGGGGGTGAATTGGGTATGAAACCAAGCTCAGGTTAGAAAAATTAGTTAGATGGTGCATGGTGATTCTGCTGTTGAAAGTCATACCATTGATACTTTAAAGTACATACTCAACTGAGTAACCTCACTCACCTCAGCCAATGGTTTAGACCAAGGCAGAGATCTCAAACATTTTGCTTTTCATATTTGATGGGATTTAGACAATCTGTCATTCAAGACTTAAGTTCTAGAAACAAGACGTTTATCTTCCAAATTGAAAGTAGTTTTAGATTATGATTTCCATTTACAATTTTGACTAACAATCAGGTTTGTATCAAATGTCCTTGATTTGAGGTACATTCCATCAAATAATACTTCAAAATGAAATAACAATTCCTTGTTTAAAATCTATTGATTGATCCAATTTATTTCAAAACAGACCTACTTGTGAATGATCTTGAATGAAATATATACAGTCGGTTGAATTAATCTTGAATGACCTTTGTAGAAAATAGTTAGTTAGTGATAAACTGTAAATCACTTCTTATTAAGAACCCTAAATTTTGCTGTATAGTATGGGGCATTCATTATTTCATTATTTTGTTCATTAATATCAAAGCATCAAATGAAAAATTGAAATTACAATGTTACTACCTCTGTGATTTTTTAAATAAAAAGAATGGCGCATATGTGAATTTTAGTGAATTTATGAATAAACCAAAGTTCACATGCTTTACAAGTTAATCCAGTCTTTGTGTTTGCATAACTTTCAAAATTCCATAAAATTATTATGAAATGTCTATTCAGTAAACTACACTTTTCCTGGCTCAAGGCTCAATCATAAATTAAGATGTAAAACAAACACATCCAGTCAAATTAGCAAAAATCAAAAGAATAACATGTTATAGGCTATTATAAATATCCTTAATTGGATTAACTGCAAGAAAATCAAAAGTATTAAAATTTATGAAGATATTACGTTTAAGAAAACAGACATTTTAAGCAAGGGTCTAAGCACAATCTTTTTTGGATATGATATCAAATAGTAAAATGGAAAAATTGGCATGGTGGTTTCACGTGAAATTTTGGAGTTGCAATAAATAAACTGTTTTGTGCTGGATTACATTGTAAACTGGTATTAAAGTGTCAACAAGCTTATATATTGAATGTATTAGCACAACGGTACTACTTTACAATAGAAAGTGTGAAGTGAGGTTGAGTAAACTAATCTTTGACCAGGTTTGATTTTAGGGACTGTTTGACCCCCCCCCCCCCCCCTTAAAAGTACTTAAAGATTCAGAAAAATGTTTCAGATTAATCAGACAATGGATATAACAGTTGAAGAAGGAAATTACCCCCTCCCTATCTTCATCTTATCTTGATTTGTATTTCCAGCAATTTTTTCAATATTTTTGCAACAAGCCTTTTGCAATCACACCTTGTACACCCCCCCTTACCTTCAGGATCACTACATCTGTTTTCTGTATATACAGAATGTAAATGTAGAATAAACAGAAAGTGATAATATAGAAAGACTCCCTTTGGAGATGAAACTTTAATCTTGATTCCACCTAAAGCTTAAATAGTGCAAATTGTGAATCTGAATGAATATTTAAGAGGTAACTTAAGTGCAAAACTGTTTTTTAAGTGTCATTTAAAAAAAGGTTTATTAATCTCCAAAGTTAAAGTGGCTTTATATTTTTCAAATAAATCATGCAACATATAAGATAAATAATCTAAAGTATTTATATTTCTGGAGTGAACTTTATATGTCAAAACATACATGTACCCTTTAAGTTTTCAAAATGACAACTCATTTCAAATTGGGCTTAAAATTTGGCACATCTCTTCACCAAGGTGACCGACATGAACATTATAATGATATCCTTTGCTGTTACTCTTGTCTCCCCATACCTATTCCTCTCTGTGATTTGATATTTTTGTGCAATTTTGAGGATGGGGGATTTTGCATTCAGATACTTATCATAGAAAGGAACTAAGAAATGAACAAGGTCATGATTTCTCAGAATGGGAAATTCATAGGAAATAAGATTCCCATTTGACAAAAAGTTGCCACAGCTAATGCCCTTGTGTAGGAGAGAGACCAAAGAGTTATGTAACAAAAGTTATGCAACAAAATCAATGTTTGGACATAACCTATCAGCACTATAATGTAATGCAGTGAATTACTCATGGGCCAAGGATGCTATAGCCCTGCTGTGTGTATTTATGAACTACTGGAGGGTTATCAATGTCTTGTCTGTTGACATCCTGCCAATACAATTAATGTCATTTTCTACTTAATCAATGAGAATGATTTATTTTCATTTCCAGTTATTTAACGCAAGGTTGTTACTGAAGGCTCTTGCTATTTGTTTGTATGCTTGTTTGTTTGGTTTCTAATAAACATACAAGCAGATACACAAATATGAAGGGCCTTCGGTGAGGTAACTCAAAATTAGAATTATTGATATGTGTAAAAGAAAATGTGCTTACTTGACGCTATGTATACATATTTTCTTTATTTGAGTGTAAATTAGCATTTCAGCTCAGTTTCAGCAAAATACTCAATGATTTTGATAATATATCTTGTGACCCTCCCCATCATGCCTCACCTTCATAAGATGCAGTACATGTACATGCAAATAATGTTCACTTGTTACTGCATGAGTCACATTTGCTCCTTGTTGGAGAGAGTTGATTTTTTTCAAAACTGAATGCAATTTTGAAGAAAATACTCGGTCGACTGGACGCTGACCGATGAATCGGGGCAAATATGACTTAGGCATTAAGCTTTTCTTGAAGATTGTATTGGAGGAGAAAGTGTCATTAATTAAGAATATTTCTTATCAATATTGATTTTCTTCTTTAGCTTGCATGGTTCATGTGGAATTTAACACTTAAGATGCTCTTAATTGATTCATAATCCCAGTAAGTAGGAGCAATGACCTTCTAATGAACTAGAACTGCATGTAAGTTTTATTCAACTACATTTAGTTTGAATGTGGTTGGGGTTATAGTACCTTAAACAGTATATTGCTATCAACTTGGATGACAGGCAGGGATGTTCTACCTTTTTGGCATTTTCAAGCAAAATTTTATTGATTGATTGAAATTTTCACAATTCTGCTGACACCTGCTAATCTAAACACTTGTGTGTCCATATGGCCTTCACATATTAACACTATTAACAGAGGTTTTGGTGTATGTGTTTCATAAGAATCCAGAAGTGAGATGCCTAGGAGTGTGACTTCAACGAACAGCTGTAGGGTTCCAGTCCAAAA